ATATATATAATTACACACACATATATAAAATATTTCTTAATATTCCGAGATATACAACTTCTTCCCTTACTTATATTTTCGCGTCAGATTGTACCTAACCTACCACATGAAACGACTGTTTTAAATCAATTAATTTATTCGTACGGCATAATTCATTATTACGATGCCATTGCACTATCACTTTTATTTGAAGAATGATGAGATAAGTAAAGAAATGAGCAACATCCATATGTATTATATATATTCGAGTTATATAATCCTTTCTAATTTCGCAAAATCACAGATTAACTCTTATATTATCCACAGAAATAAATGAACTTCCAAATAAAATTTTCGATTTATTTGTATGCTCATCAAGAAATTCAATTTAGGAATATTTACAAAGCTCGAAAAGTTAAAAAATGTTAAATTATTAACCAAACGCGACGCATTACGCTTCATAAATCGTATGTCTTTTTTGGCTTAATGGCTTTTATGGCTCACCCACGACTTTCATTTATGATTCACTTCTTAATTATATTTTCCCTGAAGTATTAATGCAAAATTTATGACATAGTACTTTTTCTTTATTTAATTGTAACTGATAACGTTTGGTTCATTTTCTCTGCATTAATCAGAATATTCATATTATATTTCTATTTAGCGGCATGGTATCTAACTCGAAAGAATATAATCAACTCTGTATAAAATAAATCTAGACTATTTATGCCCCAATCTATGCCCCAATTTGCAGTAACCAATTTTTTTCATAGATGAAATATATATTTTTAAATTCTTAAAAGACATTGGGACGACTAATATTTATTGATAGTAGTTTGAAAAAAAAAACTGAAAAACTCTCTCTAGAATCTTTTACCAAGAAAATGATTTTTTTTATGTATATCCATCGTGTAACACTTGGTTGATATCGGATATATATCGAAAATTTAAAATATGAAAATAATGTGCCACTATCAAAAGAAAAAATCCGCCAATAAAAGAAAGAAGGAAAGGTAGAGGCGATACTATGCCGCTATAGTTATCCATATCTGTCATATACACAAGATAACATGGGCACATGCACATAAAAAAAGCTTGCTACCTAAGTAATTCATCGATTTGCATAAGTGACAAATTTTAAGCAGTTTATTACATTTTCGCGTCGTGTGGATCATTAAATTAACAAATCAATTTGAATTAAAAATAGAACAAGACTTTTCGCTGCTATAGCATAACTCTCATGGTGGTATCTGTTCGTAATTAAAAATTTCGATTTTTAAAATATCGATTTTTTTTCGAAGTGATTTCGCATATTATTTGCATTTCAATATTCATATAATAAATGGCGTAAATATTTGTATATTATCCTCCGAATGAGAACTACACCACCAGTTATAGTTATGCGAGCTAAGAACAGTGATGCCAGTTTGGAGACTGCCCTCTATACGCTATAACAGCGAGCAGTATCTCCAAACTGGCATCACTAAAAATGCGGCTTTCATTTTTCTAATTTGTTTAGCTACATACCGTCGGCACAGCTTGCAAGGTATCTGCCATTGTTGGAAAAGCTCATGTCGCTGATGAAACCGGTATGCCCTCTAAGCGTAGCAGTTAACCAAGAATGAGTAGGAGTTAGCTGTTTATTGCGCCTCTTGTTTAGCGGGATGCGTCGGCCATTGCGAAATGAATGAGAATAACACGCCGGTTCTTGCGGTATGAAACTCAAAGGCGGTGCTGTGGGACTCCAAGAAGGACTGTACTCCAGACCTGAGCAAACACAAAAGTTCACCAAAAGATTAATATTCTGAACGAGAACAAGTATAATTTCAATGGACATTTAACATTTCTATGATAAAACTTTCTATGATAAAACTTTTAACACTTTTATAACAAAGGAGAAGAACACTGAGTATAACTTTCTCACGGCTATGGTTGAAAATATATGTGCTATTTTACATATACCATGTAATAAAACAAAACTCATTATTACCCAAATATCTTAATTAATCCTCCAAAAGATTTCGATCAGAACAAAATGTCCTAGAGCTGATTGAAAATTGAACGTAATCTAACCTTTCGTTGTGAAGGTTTTTTACGAACTAATCCCTCTTCTCTTACTCTATCCCATCTTTTTTATAGTTTTACGAAACTATTGTATAACGAACCAATCATAGGCATCCCCGTCCTGTCCTGCCCCTTCCATTCCTCCCTTGTAGCTCGGAAAATACGTAGCTAGATCAAAAGTATGGTGGTGGGGGTGGTGGTAAGGATATGGAAGGGAGGTACTATATGAGAATTTTCGAGAATGTTCGTTAATAGCGATTTCACTTTTATACTGGAAAACATGCGTTTTGGGAGCAAATAATTAAAAAAAATTTTTAATTGTTTTTATCATCAGAACTCTCCGGAAAGACAATGTACATGCCTAGAACTATATGAGAACTGTTTTAAAATAAGCAGAACTATATCAGAACTGCTTTAGAATAAACAGAATTCTCGAAAATCGACTGGCGTCTCGCTTCGATATCCGTAAAGACACCTCTTCGCCCTTCACCTCTTTCGAGCAAAATAAATTATTTAAAAAATATCTAATGTGAAATTAATGCTCCTAAAATATGGTATTTTTTATATTAAATGCGCAAACATACATAGGCAGTCCTATAAAATAAAGGTATAAGTGTTGATTATACGTAATCTATGCGTGCAACTTTGAAATTATAAGCATATCCGCCTTAAAGTTATAGGTATGTCCGCCGCCGCCATCTTAAATATATCTCATTTGTTCCCTCAGAGTAAAGAATAACAGGAGTGAGCATTTGGTTTTAAGCAAACGGACGGAAGTGACTATATATAAAAATGACGAAGATACTGGAAGTACCTCAAAGGCCTGGCAATGCACCATGATCTTACAATTAACACTTATTAATAATATTTTTTTAGCCTAATATTGACTCTTCCTCTCACTTATTTAGAATCGGTAATCGTGCGCAAAATAAATGCAAACTGGAACAAGTAAGACAACAAGTGGCTATACATGGCTCTGAAAAACGTTGAAAAAATTGGACGCTCAAGATGGCTGCGATAACGTACTACCGTTAGCGAAAAGTCTACCCCCACTACCGATATGCTGTCTCCTGTTATTCTTTATTCTGAGTTCCATAAATCTTTCATTCCGCTCACCCTTTATCTTTCAACCCCGCAGCGTTGCGCTCCGTCCAGATATTTCTTATATCCATATATAATATATAGAAAGATAATAAAGATACAAGTTATTTATATGTGCGTAACTTTAGTCACGCACATATGTATGTATTGTTATACATATATTGTTTGGCATGAGGGTAGATATATAAGAGATTGAATTAGAGAATTAAAAATAATATATTGTTGGTAAGAAAATCGACATTATGTTGGTTTTGTGATACAAAATACGGCCGATTGTCTATAGATAGATTATTAGGAGTAAGAGGAATGTCCAGAGAAATGCCATTTAAAACTAAAAAAGAACTAAATAAAAGGAGTGCCAACCTAAGGGCCAATAAATAAAAGAAAAAAACTCAAAAGAATGACCTTTCATCTGAAAGTACGTCTTCTATAGTTGAACTCGAATGTAAATTTGTCCGTCGCATTACTTAAAATTACACGGTGTATTACATGGAATTACTTGGGTAATTCCCGATAATTCGCAATACATGTACAAATTTTTGGTTAGTGAGACACTCCTCGGAATATACGGTACATGTCTTGAACGAAATATAGCACGTGTAAACATGATCTATTACAAGTATAAGATTACTAAATTTTAGTACAGAACCACACATAATACATGATACCTTGTTAGCTATTGCGCAAACTGCTCTCATAATTAATTATCGTAATGTCTGGTTTGCGTGAAATAAAGAGAAATTAAAAAGGAGCGGCCTTGCGCTTGATAAATGTAAAATGCGATTCATTATTCTCAACAATTATGCATTACTTTATTAATCTTCAATGTGTGCGTGACATTGTTTTTCTACAAAATACACATACATATACAATTCATTCGTATTGTATGATAACACATTCGAAATTAAATAGTCTTAATTATAATTACTACACTTATTGTTAGTAGTGTTCTTAATATATGTGTGTAAAATTAATTGAAGATGTTAAAGATGTGATATTTGAAAACTCAAAACATAATACTTTCATAAAATATTGCGTATCGCATTCATAAATTTGATATAGCAAAATGTACAATACGGCAGCATTGAATTATGTAGATCAAAGACCAAAGACATCTCTAATAACTATTATATATAAAATATACGGAGGAGAGAATATATGTGGCGTACCACATAAATAATCTATTATGCAACCTGCATAAAATAAACAAATCCACTTTGCTTCCACATCAGCACAAAGTTGCATCTCCGAGAGATCTGAAAGTCAGTCTGCCCGTTAAAAGTGTTATCTACTTACCAAGTAGAAACAACCTCCATTTCATGATTCACTTTATATTTTTATATAGCATAAAGCAGATGATAAAAAAACTAAAGAATACAATTATTAATATAGTAATTCTTTAGTAAAAAGATATATATTGTAACAGATCTTCGATATATCCTATCTTACTTTTCAATTTAACATAAAGACATGCTGCAGAATAAATTGCATTGCTTGTTCTTCTTGTTCATGTTATGGAAAAAAAAAAATATCGGAACAGAACTTGACGTTATAGTCACATAACACTAAACGTAAAAGATTAATGAAACCTTCAGGTTTACGCGAGACATTTTTTCGTTTCAAAGCATGCGCGAATTACGTGAGTACACATCGTAAAAAGATATTATTCGTATCAGTGAGTAAAAAAGTAGACCAAACTTTTTTTAATGCGAGACTAGTACGTGTAATAGCGCAACGCTAATCCACAACCTGTATGCAACCCGCGTGAAAACCGTAAGAACTTTCGCGAAAGGCACACATTGCTACGTTAATCTGCATAACTAATTTCTCGCTCACAAATGTAAACGAAACGACGTCTTCGTCATACATAAATAAGCTTTCGACGTGGCATTCATTTTGATGGCGGCTTAAGGATGTATGTGTCATATGTCAAAACATTGACAGAAGCATGAAAATTTCGTAGACTGTTCTACTATTTTTTCTGAGTATCTGTACGAAACCTGAGCACATTCTCTTAACGGTTTGGAAAAATAGTATTGAGTCTTATTAAAAATTGCGTATTGAAGCATTTATTGACAAACTTGACAAGAAAAAAACATTGCCAACGAAATAAAAATTTTCACATATATTAAGGAAACTCTAATAAATATTTGTGCAAAACTTAATTTAGATCCACTTACTCGTGTAAAAATTATTTATTAAGAATTATAGAAAATTATCTCTCTCTCTCTCTCTCTTTTTCTGCAAATTACTTGTTTCTTTTTTGTTTCTTGCAAATTGATTTCAAAGGGAATTCACGATTAAAAGTTTTTGTCATAAATTAGGAAAAATATTAATTACAACTATTTCCAAATATAAGAAATATGTTTTTGTTTTAATGTTGACTGTTTTTTGCTACTATTGTACAGTCAAAACATCCTTAAGTTTTGTACGTGCAAAATCGCTGATACACAATACCAGTGGAGAAAATAAAATTTAAAGAAAAAGAGATTTATGTGTATATGTATTTTTAATAAAGATTGATGTTATTCTATATTATATCTTACTAATTCAATACCGAGCGTTCAATTTGTTGGACAAGAAACAAAACTTTTGCTTAGGCAATGATTAAATACATATACAATAAAAAATGGATCT